ACAACGGTCAAAGCAGCATCAATAACAACGAGCGGCAGCACCAATCACCATCAACGGGAAAAGGAGGTTGAGAGAGGTTACTTCTTTCCTTCTTTCACTTATCTTATCTAGTCTGGGCTGCAGCATCGTTTCACCAAAGGGAGTCACAACAGATGTAGATTTCAAATCCAGCTAGGCAGCTAGCGAGAACCGGGAAGGCGAGATACGCCTTCATCAACCTGGAACCGGTTTGCAAATCCTCTGCAATAACTCAGTGGCATGAAGATGAAGATTCGGATTTCTAATACAAGTGTCAGTGAAGTCAGTCAGTCAGTGAGTGAGTGCTTCTATATTGGTCAGAAACGTGGCCATCACGTAACGAAAAGGACTTCCGATGGCCCACTTCGCGTTTTTCTCAACATCTGCCAACTTCGCTGGCTGATTCCATGCTCAAGACCAAATCGCCGGCCAGCCAGAAGGAATTAACAACAAGAAAGTCTGGCAACGAATGAACCAAAGAAGAGCCGATTGCTCAACAAATGGAGGTGGACTGATTGAGCATACACTGAGGAAGAGGGCCGTCGAATGACATCGTGTGCAATGCAGGCCATCAGTCGAAAGGAAGGTGAATGGGAAACGATGAGTGGGTGGTCGATGCTAATTGTGACATGAAAAAGATTGTGTGAGTTGGATGGAGGAGGAGATGACAAATTAGAGGCCTCCCACCCACCCTTTCTTATTTTCCATTTCCTTCGTATTTTTATGATATTTATTTAAACTCTGATTATCTGCCCACTCCACCTACCTTAAGTATTACGTAACTCTTAAAATTTTACGCAGTTTATTTATTTATTGAATTATCTGCACACACATATCTCAGAATCGACATGACTTGTTCCTTCAAGGTGGTTACAGATGCGCCTTGCTGACTGACTAGTGAATGACTGCCAACCACCACGAAACACCTAGCTAGGTCTAGTCAAGGCTTCCTATGTGTGGCCGATCGCCTCCAACCATCCAATACCAACAACAATTCACAGTGCACGGTGATGGAGAGCCAGCCACCCTAGTGACATGGTGTGGTCACATTGCAAACCTGACTGACTGACTGACTAACAGAATTCAGTATGAACCAAATATAGGACTAGACACATGCACATTATACTAGTTACTGACTAGTGTCCAATCAAAAATAGTTACTGTTATCACATTCATACTACTTTCCTCAGTCTGCAGTTGTTAAACTCCATTTTTTCACTCTTTATGCCGGTTGTAGAGGTGATTTGTCGGTGCATTCCAATACAGATTACACAGGTTGATGATATTCGCCTCTTGTAAAGGAGCTGTCCACAAAGTCGATTCAAGTATTCTGTGTAGCATGCTCGGAAGTCAACCACAGCAGCTTATTACGATCCTTCATTATTGAAAAGCCTCACCCAATTTCTGTTATTCCGTTTATCCTTCTCTGCAATAATAGTCGTTATCGTCATATTTTCATTGTCGAACATATTATTTGTAATATCAAGTAAAATCTCATGGACGTCAGGACACAGTATGTATTGATCGACTGAGAGCAGCTCACATTGCGGAGGAATCACTACCTTCTACATCATCAAAACCAGGGACACTCCTATAAGTCAAATCTCGAACCAAACTCAGTTATTTGTAATGCCAATGTGTGAATAAAATCCATTCCCCTTTGGGCAACTCAATGATGTGAAATCATAACTCAAATACACGACCTCTCAATGTTGGTTATTCGTCGATCAATATTCTTCTGCACATCTCCACCTACTGTCAGAATGGAAACTATTATGCATAAAGTGGTGTCCAACAATGTCCTTGAATGATGTCGGCTGAGTAAAATGCACGGAAATGCATTACATCTATTCCGCCTTGATTGAAGTCTACAAGGCTACAAAAATCATTATTCCGAGGTAAGGAAGTCTGTCAGTTACACACTTGAAAGTTGTTATACATCAATATAACTATAAATATTATACGTATATGTATATATATCTTCATTCTCCCATAGTCTTATTTCTTAGGAATGGACAAAATAATTCTAATCAGCTTCCTTCATAGATTTCTTCCTTTCCCCACATTTCGTACAACTTGCAAACCTTATTATGCAAGATAATATCAATACACCCAAACACCAACCATTCACTAATACTAATACTACCACTATTGACACTCACTATTCATTCACTATTCAACATCTCCTGTTCACTTAGTATTTATTAAATTCACTCCATTTCTACGTTTCTTCCCCTATCTTATCTAATCTAAATCACATGACTTTCATTTTCTGCTTGACCAAAGAGAGAAGAGAAAGAGGAGAAGAAAGTTTGTACCAGTTGAGTAAGTACTTTTAATGCATGACCAACCAGAAGAACAATGCTCATTTTATGCTTCCCATAGACATTTTGAGAATATTGTGTGTGACCTCAGCGTGTGCAGCATACGCACATCTACACATACACACATACATTCACACATGCAGATATACAAGGTGAGGATAATTTCATGTCTATTTATTTACTTGTTTATTCCTACATTAGCCGAAGAAGAGGATTAATGAATGCGTATACAAATATTCTCACACTGACCCACATTCTCATCAGATTTGCATCGATTTGATTTTAAGGACAACTAACTGAAAGTGGTTTATGCCTCCCTCCCTGCTGATAAATGTGTTTCTTTGACCATGTATGAAGGTTTTTAGTGGGAGAAACAAACACATTAGAAATGCGATGATGAAAGTGTTTTAAAGTACAAAGTATCCAAATGCCAGTCATAATTACTCAGGGGCAAATAGGTTTTCTGGAGAGTAGCTTGACGAATCAAAAGAAACGCTTATTAGCGAAACAAAGAATGTGCATTCTACTAACTTCTGCCTCGAATGATGATACAGTGTTACGATGACATCACACCATCACTGCAATCAGTATATCTGTGAGGGCATTAGGCAGTCAGTTCAGTCGAGAAGTCAAGTTGGCATTCGATGAAATTGTATTATCAGTATACTTGTTTTCCAAAATTCACATCTTTGAAATCATAAGACGTCAGTGGCACATCGGTTAGGACGCTCGCCGACCATGCACATGGTCAGGGGACCGATCCCCGGCTGACTCACACCTGATATCAATGGTTAGCCTGCTAAATATGGGCTGCCGAAAATTCCATAGTTGTACCAAAATATTGTGTGGAATCAAGCTATAGTATATATATATATATATATATATATATAGACACAATTGGTAGCAGACATTCTGTAGGTAGTAGGAAAGAGCCATTTTCGGTTATAATGCGAAGATGAGTGTTAAATGTTTTGAAGATACTGTTTGGTGAAAATCATTGTATTCTCAAAGTCGATTAGTTATACTTTACGCCAATTGTAGTCGTTTCTGCAGCCGACTGAAAATTATGGTTTATGTTTTAGTGACGGCTGGAGATAAACCAGTTTGCAACTGTGGCTTGAGAAATTCCGGAAGAATCCTTAATTTTAAAAAATATCTTTGAGGTATTGCAACGCATTCGAAGATATGTTATTTTACTGGTGGTTGGGATGGAATGTTACTTCTAAACTGTGCTCAAAATGTCTTGCAGACAATAATACTGTATTACTGTTTATTATTATTATTGTTCCCTTGGGTTCCTGGTGGAACATAGGGCTTCAACTGCACGTCTCCACTTGCTTCTGTCTTCTGCTGTACTTTTCACCTGCATCCATGTTAGTCCATACTGTTCCAACTCCTCTTCACACGATCTCCTCCATGTCACCCTTGGACGTCCCACTCGCCGCTTCCCTTTCGGGTTCCACTCGAGCACTGGCCTGACGCGCGATGTCACCCAACGGTCTCCTCAGCCAGTGTCCAATCCATCTCCACTTTATCCTGCATATTTGTTGGGTGATTGGTTCTTGTTTTGTTTGTTCCCATAGTTTCTTGTTGGTGATTCTTTCCGGCTATCTGATATTCAGTATAGAACGAAGACAGTTGTTGTTGATAAAGGTCTGCAACCTGTTGGAAATATTCTTGGTGACCCGCCAAGTTTCTGATCCGTATAGAAGAACTGACTGACTTGACGTTTGTATTGAAAATCCGAATTTTGTTGTTGATGCAGGCTGAGTGACGAAGATTTCCAGATTGGTTTCAGGTTGATGAATGTGTTTCTCGCCTTCCCGATTCTCGATTTGACATCCTCGTCCGTTCCTCGTGTAGTTGAGACAATGCTCCCTAGATAAGTGAAAGAAGTAACCTCTTTCAAATCCCTCCCGTTGATGGTGATTGGCGTCAGATGTTGCTGTTGTTGTTGTTTACTATGTCAAATAAATCAATCAAGATGGAGTTATACGTTGCCACAGACCGGAGATTTTATACTTCATCTCTTTCCTTCCTACTGTTCATTAATATTTGTTTATATAACTACTGATGTGATGGGCACTAAGTTGCATTATGGCTTCTGAGAAGCATACAATATCGTAGTAGTTTCTGACTATAACATAAATGTCATGTAATGTAAGAGCTAGGTGCAGCACTTTGGTATTCATGGCTTAAAAATAATTAAAGGCCGGCCGATTGTCAACATTTTTGAATTTTCATCAATAGCTACAGAATGGAGTTTCCTGGAGTCGTGACCAGTGGGATCCATCTTGTCGGCAGTGAGGACAAATGCTCGCCACGGTTGGCATTGGCTGGCACGGGTCACGCTAAAATCCCGAAATGATAAAAGTTAGGGTTCATGGGATGGCTGTTGAGTCAGGCCGCAGTGGCTGAATGGTCTACAAGCTCGCCTTGTAACCGGAAGGTTCTGGGTTGGAAACCCTTACTGATGATGAGTCCCAAACTAGGACGGAACAGCTGTCAATGATTCTCCAACTGATATAAATCCGTGGGCAAACTTGAAAATGTAAAATGTTCCTGGGAGCTTTCTTCCAGTATCATTCTTTTGAATATTTCTTTATTTTCAGGCCATATGCTAGTAATTTAAACACCTGACGTTTTAAGAAGTTTTTAATGATTAAGGTAAATTAATCATATACTCCACCCTCTCCTAGTTAACTAGCTCGCTAGTTTTATAGCCGGTCTCAAGCCCGGGTAAAGAGGGAGGGTTGGGCGTGGGGCCAGCAACCCAACACCAGTAAATCTTTCAAACCGCCAGAGAAACTTCAACACACAGAAAATATATTAAAAATAAAAAAACTTCAAATAAAAATCTTATTCATCGCTTTAATTGGAGAGGTGAAATGACACAGCAGGCTGATGAAAAACAGCCTTCGGGAAGCCAGTCAGTCAGTCGATGTGTCTTCTCCCGATGAAAGCAAGAATAAGAATGGGTACGTGAAATGTCCGTACAATGTACGAGACTGAGAAGGCTGCCCAGGTAGCCAAAGAGATGCGAAGATATGGCATACAAGTGCTGGGTATCTGTGAGAGTCAGTAATCTACTGCGGTCTAGTCAGTCAGACGACAATCACGAGCACACAGAGACAGTGAGTGGCTACAATGATGTAACCACTGGCAGCCAAAGGCCCTAATGCAGTGAGAACCAATCTCCTCATTAAAGATGACGACAGCAAGATTCAAGTCAAAAGGAAGGAAGGTCATAATTATCCAATGCTACGCACCTACAAACAACGCGGAACAAGAGAAGAAGGAAGATTTTTACAGAAAACTACAAACAGCAATGGACAACATCCTGAATGGTGACATCAAAATCCTCATGGGCGATATGAATGCCAGCTGAACTGGGAGCAGACAATAAAACAGGAAGAGAACTCATCATGGGTCGAAAGGCTGTCGCTCGGAAAAGGGAATGAGAACGGAGAATTATTCGCAGACTTCTGCGCTTTCAATGATCTGGTGATCGGAGGCAGCTTGTACAAACACAAGGATATACACAAAGCAACATTGATTTCGCCTGACGGACATACCACGAACCAGATAGATTTCATCTCAATGCTGCTCAAGGAAGTGGAGAAGCAGCTAGCCTGCTGGATACAAAGTCGAGAAGGGGAGTAGGTGTGGGCTCAGACCATCATCTAGTTCAGGGAACCTTCAAGGTGAAGCTGAAATCCTTCAGAGCAACTGGAGACAGGCCACTATAATTCAAGTTCAACATCCGAAAAATGAAGGACAAAACTACAGGGGATGCCTTCACTACAGATCAGATCAAAGCAAAGCGGGAGACACTACGTGTTACCACCGAGGAATCCTGCTTGAAAAAATATTCGAATTCTCTGAAGGCGATATTCGAGGAAACGTGTACAACAGTTCTAGGAGGAAAGAACAGACAAGACAAGGAATGGCTCTTAACGGACACCTACCTGGAAGCCAGTCGAGGAGAGGAGGATGGCGAAGGAGAAGATGATTCAAAGCAAAGATGGGCAACAGAAGGAGAAGCTGAGTTCAATGTACACTGCACTGAGTAAAGAATGAAGTGAAGAAGAGTGCTAGAAAAGACAAAAGACAATTCTGCGACACACTGACAACTGAAGTGGAACAGGGTGCATGTAAAAGAGACCACAGGACATTATATCAAATAACCAAGTCTCTATCCGAGGAGAGATCAACCCTGATGATGAAATCAAAAGAAGATACTCAAGGAAACCTGACTGTCAAGGAGAAGAAACAAACAAAACAATGGGCTGATCCATAAGCGTGTTGATGAACAAGTGTGTCGAAGATGAACGGATCATAATTTACTCTGCACACTAATTACAATTAATATTTATTTTACTGACTGACAATGAGGCATTTTTATTCTTTTTAAACGCCTAATATCCCAGGACATATTTATGCACTACACGCACAGTAGTGCGTCGGTGGCATAGCGGTTAGGACGCTCGCCGACCATGCACATGGTCCGGGGTTCGATCCCCAGCCTACGTACTCCTTTACTTCGCTAAGCCAGAAATAATGCTGGTGGAGAGGAAAGGTTGGGTATGAGGCTAGCAACCCCATCCTGTAAAAAGTAAACACTGCTACAGAAACTTCAAGCTTGAGGCCTTATGTTCTACTGGGAACGTGAAGGAAAAAAAAACATGCACAGTAAGCTTATAAGCAGTGAGAAATTAAGTGTTAAGAAAGTCCAAATACATGAAGAATCTTTCCAATTTTTATGTTGTTGTGTTCTTTGAGCTGGATGGTTTATTTCCGAAGCAGTCATTTGCCATACTAGACAACATCTTTAGCACATACTTCGATTTTTTGAATTGAAGTGAGTTTCTGGATTTCTCCACGCGTATATTAGTCATCTCTACTGATGAGTCACATTGAATGAGACACTTTGATTCCACTTGTCTATCTTCACACTCTCTAGTTAGTCTACTTGTCTCGGTATTGATTCCTTCCTTGATCTGGAGTGTGACATTTTGTGCGCGAGATTTCTCTCTCATGGTGTGGATTGGTAAATTTTATCTATATCAATGTGCCTGTTAATTGCCAATTCTCAGTGGAATACGAGGCAATCTTCCAAGAATTCTTCAGTGTTCTTGGTGTTTCCTCTGCCTAATATTTCAATGTTGCATCAATCGAATTGACCTCCGTGTTTTTCAGTGTGGAGTGAGGCGATATGAGTGAGGGAGTGGATATCATGTCTTTTGACAGCTAGTTTGTGTTCATGGATACGAAGACGAAGGGAGGGGCGTCGACACTCTGGCCAGTGTAGTTTTTTTCGCAGTCATTGCAATTTATTTTGTAGATGATGTTGGTTTTATCTTCTTCCTGTGTTGATTCTGTCTTTCAGATGACACAGAGCCAGCTGAGTGAAGTGATTTTGTTGGTTTATGTGCTACATCAATTCGTGAGGGTTTGAGGAGTGTTACAGTGATTTTTGAGACGTCCTTTGGGCATATATGGTAAGATGATTTTTTCTTGGGGGCCTCTAATTTTGGTTAGTTGGTTTGTTTGCGGGTGGATTTCCTTATAAGCTTAAAACTTGAGCACTCTGGTGGTAGAGTATAACTCCATTATGCATAAGATTTTAGTTTTGATAAATCACACACAGTGTTTGTTTTACACAGTAATGACGTTCTGAGCACAAATTATCATTGTCACTCATAATCATATCAAGGCACTACTAACACAACTTTTTGCTTCATTTATATACACGAGTAAAAATTCATGACTAGACATTTGAATAAAACCAGATAAAGTACATTGAGAAATAATATGAGTGATTTTTGTAAGTAAAAGTTTTTTGTAAAAATAATTAACTTGTTAAAATGTTATAATTTGAATTGAATACAATTTAACACTATTTATTATCCTCCTCTGATTTGACTGACTGACTGGTGGTAATAATATCTTCCATATCTCTGGTATTAGCAATGATGAATCACTTCTATTGCATATGTTGGGTGTAGATTATTCGATGAACAAGGATTCAGTAATCAACCTACCTCTATCTTCATTTACCTATATTAATTCTTAGAATTTTGACTCTGTCCCACCCACCGTATTGCGTGGTTGTGTGTTAATGCATGCAGTGCAATGCAGTGTTGAGTTGGTTTTTCTAAATTACTTATCTTTGTGAGATCAATCATTCTAACCTCAGGTAAATTCTTATGTTCTCACTGGCAATCTCACTACTCCCGATATTCTGGTCTGACTCACTTATGTACGTAGTTGACCTAAGTCGCAGTGATTGCAAGGTATTTTGCAAATGACATAATTTTGTCTGATTGTGTCAACGCATAGGGTCCTTCAACCTTCCTACAGAGCTTGTCCTACCTGAGTGAGCGAGTTTGTAGGTTTGAGTGCTGCCATCATAATTCCTGCTTTGTTGAGAACCCTACGTAGGTTGACAAATGTCCTCTCCTTATATGGTAGAACTGTAGATCGAGGCAGAAAAGCCAAATCTCTGAGTAGAGAAAAGTTCGTTCAACCCCTCCAACTTTCATGGTCATAATCCCTCTATGCTGAAGTTTGTTAATCCCCATTCCATACTTTGGCTCTACTTATTTTTCGTTTTGTTTATTCAGTTTGCATACTCTTCCTTTATTACGTCAAATGTCAGGTACTATTACTATTCTAACTTTGAACTGTCCACAGTATTATTTCAGTTTTTCTGCCTGTCCTTATAAATCTAAAATTTTGTCTTGCAACGTTAAATTCAATGTTATCAAAAATTTCATACTGTGTTGCGCAACACCTCTATTTTTATTCTATTTGCCTACTAATCCTATAATTTCACACCCCTTCCAATTTCTATACATTTTATGAATTGTTCTATGTATGATATTAATTGTTTTGCCACTTGACATTTAACTATCATTATAATCACAAACATTCGAATTGCATTTCATACTGCTATTAGTATTTTATGTATTCGCAACTATGATTGAATTACCGCACCGGATATAATTTCTTAACGTGTAGCGCGATTTCAGATGCATCCATCTTCGAGAAGAACGTGAAATGCAGGACAGTGAAACGAATCAGCTTTGCCTCAGCCATATGTTTCTCTGCAGCTTGAAGAATTGCATGAGATACAGGAAATTTTTATATATTGGTACAACTTCAACAATGTGGTTGTATTATTTTAAATTATTGAAATCAATCCCAGCGTGTTAAGAAAATCACAACAAGATCTGTTTTCTGGACGTTTCGCTGTGTAAGCTGCCACAGCTTCTTCAGCAGCAGATTTATTCGGATTTTTATTAATCATCAAAATATATAGTCAAAAAAAATTTTACATAAACTGAAGTCAGTTTATTTGAAGGTCATTTGTCCATGGACATTTTTACCAAAAGATGAATTACGTCAGAAGGTTGGATGTATCCTATCGAATCAAAAGCAGGGCATCTCAAATTTGTTGAAGAACGAACGTCATGCATTACAAACATTTAGATCAGATAAATCTATTGTTATAACTAAAGCTGACAAAGGCAATATCACTGTAATTCTTAATAAAGACGACTATGACAAAAAAGCTTTGGAACATATCGAAGCAGGGCCATACGCATTAGTACCAGTAAACAAAATGTCTAGTACGATGAACAAAGTAAAAGCCCAAGTATGCAATATGCTTAGAGAATTGAAACCAAAACTAGGGAACTCAGTTTGGTTTTCAATAGCTCCCAAGACAAACACGGCCGCCAGATTTTATGGAAGGCCGAAAATACATAAAGTAGATGTTCCTTTAAGACCAATAATTGATTTTACCAATTCAGTAACATATACGTTATCAAAATACATATCACGAATACTGAAACCACTTCAATACAATGTTCCTTCGAACATCAAAAATATTGAGGAGTTTAAAAGGAAAGTAATGGACATAATTATTGAAGAAGACGAAATTATGGCAAGTTTTGATGTGGTTTCTTTATTTACTAGTATTCCTATTTGTGATTTTTACTCGATATTATGAAATATGAACTTGAATACAATCAAGAAGTATTAACTAAATCTTTATTATCAATAGATGAAGTTATAAAATGCTTAAAACTTTGTTTGGAATCTACATATTTTACCTTTAAAGACAAACTATACTGTCAAACAAATGGAGTTGCAATGGGTTCACCAGCATCTCCAATTGTAGCTAACCTATATATGAAAGCCCTAGAAAAGAAAGCATTGACAAGTTTTAGTTGTCATCCTAGAATATGGTACAGATATGTAGATGACACATTTATCATCATAAAGAAAGCTGAAAAAGAAAACTTTCTAACAGAAATTAACTTAATCTCAGAATATATTGAATTTACTAATGAAATAGAATCGGGTGAGGGAACTCTAAACTTTCTTGATTGTTTTGTAAAAAGAAAAACTGACGAGAAGCTAAAGTTTACCATATGCAGAAAGCCGACACATTCCAACAAGTATTTGAATTTCCAATCAGATCATCCATCCAATAGGAATGAAAGTTTCAGTAGCTTTAAATCTCGTTAACAGAGCTAGAAACATTATAACAGATAATGACGATATGGAGAACGAGATATCCAACATAAAACAGATTTTGATTGGAAATGGTTATCCTGAAAAGCTACTAGATAATATTATCAATAGAAAGGAGCATAAGGGAAAACAAAAAATTGAAAAATCCTGGCTATCGACGATAGTCATCCCATATCGAAAGGACACAGCTGAACAACTTCAAAGACTATTTGCCTCATATAATATTAAAGTCTATGTCAAACCTTCTAATTCTCTGGAGAAAGCGCTGGTGCATGTCAAAGATATAGTTCCCAAAATGTCACAAAGTAATTGTGTCTACAAGATAAAGTGTTCAGAATGTGATGCATGCTATATAGGGGAGAGCAGTAGGCAGGTGAAGGTCAGAGTGAATGAACATAGACTATGCACGAAACGTCCACCTAGAAATGAAGTAGAACTAAAAAGTCTAGAAAAAAGATCTGCTATAGCAATGCATGCGATAGGCAGCAGACATAAGATTGATTTGGACAATGTCGAAATTCTTGGAAGAGGATTTCATTCAACACATAAAGAAAGGTTGACACCTCTGAAGCCTGGCACATCTTAACCACATCGAATGCAGTGAATAGGAAAGAAGGGATAGACTTATCACCTATATGGCAAACTCTTATGAAACAAGACAGATGAAAAAACAACAAACACTCTATGAGCCTCCATGACCTTTTAAAACATGTAGTATCTTGTTTATCACTTATGAATTCACGTAATTTCCACATGACAAATAACATACATACACACACACACACTCATACAAAACTAATCTATACAAATTAACTATACAAGAATGAACACAACAACAACTTGACATTAGTCATGACAAATATATGTGATGACTGCTTACATATTTTCTATTGGTAAAAATGTCCATGGACAAATGACCTTCAAATAAACTGACTTCAATTTATGTAAGAAAATTTTTGACTATATATTTTGATGATGAATAAAAATCCGAATAAATGTGCTGCTGAAGAAGCTGTGGCTTACACAGCGAAATGTTCAGAAAACAGATCTTGTTTTGATTTTCTTAACACGCTGGGATTAACTTAAATAATTTATAATGAATCAATCTGACTCGGCGCTAAAATTATTCCAGGAAGTTCGTAACATCTACGGCCTGGAAACCTATAATGTGGTTGCATGCTTATTAGATATACTCCACACAGTAAACACTTAGCAACTGACAGGTTCACTAACACTACAAAAACATTCTGGAGGTATATTGGTGACACATTCAACGTACTAAGAACACAAAATATTAACGGATTTTTCGGAAACGTCAACTAGGAGATGGAGGCAATTCAATTCACTTATAAATTGGAAAGTCAACAAGGGGAGATTCCAATTATGGATTCTAACGTGAAAAGGAAAGAAGATGAGAAGTTAAACACCAATTTTTACCGAAGACCCACACACTGAAACCGATATTTGGATTTCGGATGATTCCAACCGATGTCAGTAAAAATAGGATTGGTGAAATGTTTAGGTATCAGGAAAATCTAAGGCGGTAAGGGAGGCATATAAGAGAAACTAGAAACTTAATGAACAATTACCCTGATAAATTGATCAGGAACTATGTAGGAAAATGTAAAAATAAAATTAATAATAATATTAATGACGACATGCATGTAGAGGCTAATGACAATACCAACAATGAGGAATATAAATCATCAGTATTGTGTGCTTCCATGCGAAGAATGAACCTCGGAAACCTTACTGTGGAGAATCCTTAACAATGCAGGCAGGAATAAAAGTTGTCGGTTTCCAGACTGTTTTTTTTATTCCTTAACGTTCCCAATGGAACACAGGGCTTCAAGCTTGAAGTTTCTGTAGCAGTGTTTATTTTCACAGGATGGGGTTGCTAGCCCCATGCCCAACCTTCCCTCTTTGCCAGTTCTATTACTGGCTTAGCGAGGTAAAGGAGTGCGTCGGTGGCCGGGGATCGAACCCCGGACCATGTGCATGGTCGGCGAGCATCCTAACCGCTGTGCCACTGTAGATGTTACTAATTTCCTGGAATAATTTGAGCACCGAGTCAGATTGAATCATTATAAATTATTTATAATAAACCCAGCATGTTTAAGAAAAAATCGAAACAAAAAGTGTTTCTGAACGTTTCACTGTTAAGCAAGCTACAGTTTCTTCTTCAGCGGAATTATTCGGATTTTTTTTATTAATCGATCGGTAAAAAATCTGAATAATTCTGCTGAAAGTTCATAGATTTCTTTCTTTAAAATAAAAATTTTAAACTACGTGTAAAACTCTCATCTATAATTATCATCTATAACCAATGTTGAAAAGCATTGAAATTGCACGGTTGTGATTGGCTGTTTCAATTTAAGAAAAAAATGCCCTAAATATATATAAATATATACATATTGTCTGTGAGAATTTATTTTGTTCATCTAATATAATACTGGTTTCAGTGTTGTGATTATCTTGTTGGCGTACTCGCTACTGGTTACATTCCATCGTCATATAGAACAACTTTCGTCATCAACATCATCATCACCATCATCTCACATCTTCTTGTGCTTGTCTGGCCTTTTAAAAACAAACCAATAAAATTCTGTTGATTTTCTCTTGCCTAAATTTTTCGCTCAACTGACACAGACTACTGAAGGTGAGTTATAAAGTCAGTAGAATTATATATATTACAATAAATGTTACTTTTTTCCCCCATCAAAAATTCTTAAAACATCTCTCTTGAAAGCAAATAAGTGAGTAAGTGAGTAAGTAAGCAAGTAAGTAAGTGGGTGCGTGAGTGAGTGAGGTACTTAAGAAGGATACATAGGAGAAGGGAATTATAGTGCTGCTAGCTGACATATTTGTTACTTGCTTGCTTGCTGGCTTGCTCGCTGATGATGATGATTGTACCAAGTTATTTTTGTACAGATTACCAGTAGACAGAGATAATTCTTTGGACAAAATACTTTCTATGGGCAAAATTTGGGTTCTATGCAAGCTGTAGTTATATATTTTCTAAGTGTGTAGCAGATTTTTTCCCTACTACTAGGGGATTGATTTCTTTATTTTATTTTTTGAGAAAAAGATTTTTCTAGACAGGCAGAAACTTAAAACGTTTTTATCTTTTTTTCCTTCTTTTACTTGTTTGGCAGAAATCAGGAACACAATGGATTATTTTTTTACTATTATTATTATTATTCTCTAATCTTTCCTCAAAGCAGAAATGGATACAAGTTACTACAAGGGGTAGTAACCTGCTTGGGAGTGACTATGACTAGCTTAGAGTAGCTATATGCCTCGTGTCCAAAAAGCAGGTATTGCATGCATATGTGACGACAAAATAAGTTAGTGTGTAAATGAATACGCGATCATTGCTCAAATAAGTAGTTACACGTGTTACTGCCCTAACAGGCGTTTTACTTACTCACTAACAGCCCATTGTCTCCTATTTAATGCATCCCCTGTCACTTTAATGAGGGATGCTCTTGTATTCGGCGATAGAATTGACACTCTAAGACCATCGTGTACTTTTCTTGCATTGTTGTCCCTCCAACATATGCCTCGATTTGGCTATATTTTCACTGAGGATCATTCCGTACAGTGCTTTGACTGTCAACGTGAATAAACTCACCCAGGCACGAATAATGACAGTACCAAGAGACACATGTTACACATTCCAGGTGCCTCCACACGGTGACCACCGGGGAGAACCTACTGAGAAACTGGGCCTTAGCTTGACCTAAGACCTGTAGCTAGCAACAACAACAACACTCGCGTCCAGCTGCTCATTTCTAGAAAATGGGCCTATTGTGATGTACGAGGCATCGCAGGATTGGAGGTATCCAGAACTTTGGGCGAGAGAGAGAGAGCTGGGAGCTTTTCCAAAGTTGTGACTCATGATTAGCAGGTGGCCGGGGATGGCTTGCTCGGAGGTGCATTCGGATTTTTTTCAGTAATTTAAAAATTCCCGTTGTAACATTAGGAACACAATATTTTCAGCTAGGAAAAGACTCTTTTCAACAACGAATTTATTATCAAACTGTGCAGTCATACAAATATTTACTTGGGTTTGGAGAAATTATATACGGTTAGGGAATCGAATCAAAAATGTGAATACATGAAATAATAATAATAGTAGTATGAAATGCAGTTTATATATAGGATAATTCATAAGATGTATAGATATTGTTGTGAGGTGGTGTATAATAGGCTCTCACTGTTACCTTATGAAAGCAAAATTTCTTGTGATACAGTGTTGATTCCTGGATGACAGCGTTCCTAACACAATTTATTTATTTATTGTTCGTAATCCTATTATCAACAATTAGTAAAACAACTTCGAATGTTTCACTTTATAGTTTACTTTATTCCTTGCTACTCATCGTCGGGCGGAGAAGGTAGTAGTAGAATTTTCCAGATGCCTATTACACGTGTTCCATCCTAGTTGATTCGATAAATAAGGCCTCAGTCAATTGTCAATCTCCCCATCCCTTCCTCCCTACCTCCACCCTGTCACATTACATTTTAAAACTGTCATCTTGTCTATTCATCCTATATTGTATGGTTGTGTGTAATTCCATGTGGTCAGTGGTATAGCTCAACTATTCTTCACATGTCTTATCTTATTATTAGGGTAAACTATTCTACATGTTTCCAGGTTTTTTGTACTGCTCCACTATTCTGATTGACTGACTCATCCCCTTCTACCACTTCCGCCTATGCATTATTTCACCTGACACACAATCATTACAGCAGGGTATTAGATAAACTGAACTGTTTTGTTCAATTGCCTCCACAGATAGGATACTTTAACCAACATAGCTTGTTTCTAAGTGAGTTTGTGCGGAATTGAATGCCAGACACTTTTATTTCTGCCTGCATTGTTAAGAACTCTCCGCATTCAGGTTCCTTCTTCACATGGAAGCAGGCAATACTGATGATTTACATTCGCTGTTTTATCATATCATGCCTTTAACCTTTATTATTATTACCATCAGCATTACTATAGCTATTGTTAATTTTATTTTTACATTTTCCTTCATACTTCCTGATTAATTTATCAGGGTGATTATTAATTAAGTTTCTAGCTTCTCTTATATGCCTCCCTTGCCGCCTTAGATTTTCCTTTGTACTACTCAGTTTTCGTACGCTGATACCTAAATATCTAACCAATCCTATTTTTACTGACATCGGGTGGGATGATCCGAAATCCAAATATCGGTTTCAGTGTGTGAATTTTCTGTAAACATTGGTGTTTAACTTCTCATCTTCTTTCCTTTTCACGTTACAATCTAACATTGGAATCTCCCCTTGTTGACTTTCCAATTTATAAGTGAATTGAATTGCCTCCATCTCCTAGTTGATGTTTTCAAAAAATCCGTTAATATTTTGTGTTCTTAGTACGTTGAATGTGTCATCAACATGCCTCCAGCATGGTTTTGTAGTGGTGGTGAACCTGTCAGTGGCTAAGTTTTTACTGTGTGATATATCCAATAAGCATACAACCACATTGTTGAAGTTGTACACATATAATAAAATTTCCTGCACCTCATGCAATTCTTCAAGCTGTAGAGAAAACCATGTTGGCAAAGAAGAGTAATTCGACTTTAATTTTTCAAAATTTATATCTGCATTTTAAGGATGTTTTGTTAAGCAAAATGTTTTGTATATTTTTCATAACGCGAATGCCAAAATTTGGAGACACCTTTAATCACATGTTAAAGACATGAAGTAACAACTGCCTGTGTGTGTGAGTGTGTGTCAGGAGGCCACTGCTAACATAATATTGAAATACTGTGTGTTTCATGCTTCATTTATATGGCAAGCATGATGCCAGACCCTGTGTTACAAATAAGAATTAGACGGTTTTTTTCATTCGTTTACTGAAGACAGACATTTCAGTGAATGGTAATGAATGCTTAAGCATGCGTGTGAAAATCCGTTACATAGATGATTTATTTTTGTCGTTTTGTTTAACATTCATGAAAAAAATAATATCAATGCACTCACGGAATTTCTTCAGTATTGTACCACTTATCTCACAGTTCACATTAATCTGGGCAGTTTAGTAGTTGTAATTCCCTTGGGTTTCGAATGGAACATAGGTCTTCAACAACACATCTTCACTTCATTCTATTCTCTGCTGTGCTATTCAGCTGCCTGACCTCTACGACTCCCCATAATCTCTCATCTCCTCCTCAAGCCACCTCCATGTCGCCACATCACCGACCACCCACTCTTCGTTTCACATTCACCCTCCACTAGAGTGATGGCCTGCACGATGTCATTTGACGACCTCAGCCTTCCTCAGCGTACGCCAAATCAATCCATCTCCATTTCCACCTACATATTTGTTGAGTAATCGGCTCTTGGTTGGTTAGTTCATTGCCAGTCAGAGTTTCTTGTTGCTAATTCTTTCTGGCCGGCCGGTTAGCTGGCCATTTGGTCTTTAATATGGAGCCAGCCAGCCAGAGAAGGTGGCAGCTGTTGATAAAAGGCTGCAGTGGCCTGTTTGAAATGCTTTCCATGAGGCACATACAGTGCAGGTTTCTGACACAAATAGAAGCACTAACTGAGTGACAGACTAACTGTCTTCACATTTGTGTTGGAAATGCGAATCTTGTTGTACAGAAGAATTCCTAGCTGATTTGAGGTTGATGAAGGCGTATCTCTCCTTTCTCATCCTGTCTAGCCAGCTTGCTGGTTTTCACATCTTCATCCGTTCCGATTGTCTGTGGTGCTGCAGCCTAGGCTAAATCAGATAAGTGAAGGAAGAAAGTGACCTCGCGCAACCTCTTTTTCTCGTTTATGGTGATTAGTTCTGCTGCTTGCTGTTGTTGCTTTGGCTGTTGCTATTGGGGTGGTGGTTGTTTGGTTCCTTATCCTCATCACTTCTCCTCCTCCATCTTCTCTATGTTCATCACCTGGATGGAGTCAGTCCTGTCTTTGCTGCCTTCCACCCAGACAACCATCCTCTTCAGCCAGTTGTTTGCCAGTTACTGCCTGCCAGAAATTCTTGTAGTTTGTGTTTCTGTTTGTGCGACATTCAACGACATGAATCATCCACACGTGAAATCCACACCTTCTGGAATCTTGTTATATTGGTCAGAGCAGCGTATTCTCACTGTCTTCTCACACACAATCACTCACCGTCAATGCACAGTCTGACGAATAATCCAGTCCAGTTCACCACAATTACGAACATCACCGTCGGTGATAATAGGCAGCCAGCCAGCCAGCCAACCAGTCACCCAGCTTGTCTTACTCCAGCATTCACTCACTTCGAAGGCAGGCTTCACTGAGTTTTCCATTGTGGATCACCTAACATGTGCCACTGTCATATAGACGACTCCTGAGTGAGGTTGATAAAGACTTGGGGACAACAAGTTGTAGTGTTGAGGTAGTTTCCAAATTACTTCTCTGTCAACACTGTCTGTTAAAGGCCTTTTCGAAGTGGGTGAAGGAAGTTGAGGTAGACAGATTTGACTGTCACTCAATGTTGTTCTGTGATGATGATAATGATGATGCGTAGAGTTTTAATTTGATTATCACATGATCTGCCTTAATTCACACTTGTTCGTGCGGGGCAGGTGGAGTTCTGCATCAAGTGCACCTTTCACTCTCTTTGTCTCTCTCCAGTATGACGCGGCTTAGTAT